GTAGGAACCTCCCACTTAACGGCAAGGGGGGGGGGAAACAAAAATTCACAAACATGACCAGGGCTTCAATATTAATTCACTAGATGAGCATAGCGGAGCTGCTACAATACTACATACATACAATACTATATACACTGGAACAGCACAAGAGAATTTCTCATGCCAAACATAGCTGGCACATTTTGTTCTCTGCTATTCTACAATAAAGAAAAAATGTTTTATGTCATTACTTAACCAAAAGGCAACCATAAACCAAGTGCTTTTTATCTTGCAAAGAAGCAAATGATTGTTATGATAGTTTGGGGAATGGATGTGTCCAGTTTTGAATTGGTTTTATGAACACTGTTTGCACTTATTACAGTCATTCTGAATTGGATCACCCATTAGATAGCAGGACGCTGACATGCAGTGAAGAGCTGTGTGGGAAGGTGTGACAAAGCAATCAAGAGGCCATCAGCATTGAATGACCCTCCCCAGGTGGAACAATGGGTTCCTATCTGCAAGGCCTTGCAGGTAGTCTCTGCACAGAAACCTGTTTGGGGAGAAAGGGGAGCTGGATTCCTCCCTAGCCTGAGTAAGCACATGGCCTGAAGAGCTGCAGTTTCCTCATTTGCCTATCTGACAGAAGGGCAGAGACTATTTTAAAAGATGTGCCTCTTCAAGTCAAACAGAAGACCCAGAAGCAGAAGCACCAATATAGGAGGGGCCAGGGGGCCATGGCCCTCCCACTTTTAAAAAGCTGGGAGGCCTGGACTATCCACTTTGGTAGCCGTCCTACCTCCCCCCATCCCAGCCAGGCCAGGAGCTGGAGCCTGGCCGGGGAGCCTGGGAAGCTGTGGGGGCCATGGACCCTCCACCTGCCTCAGGTAGTGGGGGGGGTGGGTGGGGAGGGTCAAGAGCAGCTCCCGGCCCATGTCCCCATCCCACAGGGCCCCCCCGCCCAGGGCAGGAGGGTCCACCCCACCCCACAGCTGCCCACGTGGCTTTTACCATAGTCTGGCTGCAGCCCCCCCCAACCAGAGCCAGGTCCAGGTAAGAGCAGTGTGCAGCGCACAGGCAGTTATAGGGAACTGTGGAGCCTCCTGCCCTGGGTCCATGGCTCCCGGCCTGCTCCGGCTTCTTGCTTTGCTGGGGGCAGGGCCTCAGGCAGAAGGGGAAGGGAAGGGGGCCCTGCCCCTCCCCCCCCCACTTTTGGGCAGGCTCTGCCACCCTTGCACAGAAGAAGGGACCTTGCCTCCTTAATGGACATGAATCAAATAGAGAGACTCACAGAAAGGGCTGAGATCAGACAGAAAAGGATTGCATTCAGTAGCTTGTTTTCCATTTATCTGTAACTCTCTTGTGCTTTCTAAGCGTAAGGAGAGTGAGTATGAGAGTGTGTCAGTCTTAGGGCATGTCTACATTACGATCCAGCAGGGGTCGATTTATCGAGTCTAGTGTAGACGCGATAAATCAACCACCGAGCACTCTTCCGTCGACTCCGGTATTCCACCAGAGTGAGAAGTGTAGGCGGAGTCGACGGGGGAGCGTCAGCCATCGACTTACTACAGTGAAGACACTACGGTAAGTAGATCTAAATACGACGACTTCAGCTACGTTATTCACGTAGCTAACGTTGCATAACTTAGATCGATTCCCCCCCACCCGCTCCCCCAGTTTAGACCAGGCTACGAAATTCCTTTGCTAAGCCTGTGTTTCCACGCTTTACTGCCATGTGGTCCCTGAAGGATGCAGGAAACCAGAGCTCACACTGCCACATGAATTCTGGGGTGTGGGGGGGGAGGAGAACATGTCTAAACAACTGGGGGGCTCAGGAGGGCTGTGGCACTAGTTCCAGGGTCCAGGCAGCTGGACTTGGTGGGGGTCCCTGCTGTCAAACAGGGGGACTGAACCCAAGACCCCCAGAACTAGGAACTGTGACCGGTCACTATCCAGACCCAGGTGGTTTCTCAGCACATGGGATTGAGCAGTTGGATCCCATTACAACAAATTAGTGTCAGTCTAGAGAATGAGACTGGACCAGGTTGTGACAACTGTCACCTATTTTTCCAAAGTGATGTGGATCTGGGTGAAATGCAGTGTAAATGATCCACAATTTACATTGCAAGACTTTAGGAAGGTCCTTTCCCTAAGTCAAAGAAAACTGAAGTTGAATACTGAAACCACCATAACAAAGATCACAGTATCTGGATAGCATCCTTATACACATTATGGTTATTATCTTCAAGAATAAACTGTATGTTGGGGTTTTTTTTTTTAGAACAGTGGCTCTCAACCTTTCCAGACTACTGTACCCCTTTCCGGAGTCTGATTTGTCTTGTGTACCCTGAAATTTCACCCAACTTAAAAACTATTTGCTTAAAAAAATCAGACATAAAAATACAAAAGTGCACAGCACGCTATTACTGAAAAATTGCTGGCTGTCTCATTTTTATGATATACACCGGACCCTCGCTAGAATGCACGTCTATATAGCGCGAATTCGCATATAACGCGGTTGCGGCCATGGATCCCAAATTTAATTACTTTAATTGCAATTCATTTTAACGCTGTTCCCGCGTTAATGCAGTACCGTGCATGAATCCCAAATCCCACGTTCTAGCGAGGGTCCGGTGTAATTATATAATAAATCAACTGGAATTCAAATATTGTACTTACTTTTCAGTGTATAGTATATAGAGAAGTATAAAAAAGTCACTGTCTGTATGAAATTTTAGTTTGTACTGACTGTTAGTGCTTTTAATGTAGCCTGTTGTAAAACTAGGCAAATATCTAGATGAGTTGATGTACCCTTGTAAGACCTCTGTGTACCCGATTGAGAACCACTGTTTTAGAACATCTACAAAGAAGAGTCATGTTGTTCAGTGAACCGTACCGTGGGACTAAGATTATGTTGCTTATTAAAAACACATTCAGTTTGACCTCGAGAATTACAATGCAGAAGTATTAGATCAGAAATCATATCAAACATAGGATGTATGAAATGCTCTGAGATAAAGCTGAAGCGAAGCTAATAACTTAATATCCAGCACTGTGATCTTGTCACAAGTTCACTTAAGTGTTGTGTTGTGGTTATTTAAGAGAAACCGATACTGCTCACAATAGATGGAGGCCTGAATTTCTCGCTGCTCTCTGTAGATTCGGATATGACCTCGGACCCTGACAACATCCCCAATTTCCAGCTTGGTTTTCTGGAGCACCTCTTCCTGGAGCTTCTTCATCTGTTCAACTAGATCACTGCTGCAAGATGTGCCTAGTCCTGATGCAAAAGATGTTGGGAAATCAGAGATAGTCTTAGAATGATGCTTTCGTTGTTACAATTTCAAGGCAGAGTTATCACAGAAGATCAGCTAAGAGGAGACGGTTACTTAACCTGTGCAGTAGTTGAGGTTCTTCAAGATGCGTGTCCCTGTGGGTGCTCCACTTCAGGTGTCAGTGCGTCCCAGCACCGTTGATTTGAGATTTTTGGTAGTAGTGTCCATCTGGGTCGTGCATGCACAGTGAGACGTTGGCACCTCATCAAGTGCATGCGTGACCCGACGCCCTCTGTTCCTTCTCTACAGTACAGTCCATACTGCGAACTCCGAAGTAAAGACGAGAAGAGTGGGTAGTGGAGCACACAGAGGGACACACATCTTAAAGAACCTCAGCTACTGCACAGAGTGAGTAATCTTCTCTTCTTCTCCAAGTGCTGTCCCTGTGGGTGCACCACTTCAGGTGACTGAAGAGCAGCGCCCTTGTGTGGATGGAAGGGGCTTCGGAGTTGTATGCACAGTGGAGGATAGCACCGTGAGACCTAGCATTGTGTCTGAGCTTGAACCTTGAGTAATTGCATAATGGTTCGTAAATGTGTGTTCAGAGGCCCAGTGGCCGCTCTGCATATGTCTACGACTCGTACGTTATTTAAGAAAGCTATTGAGGTAGACACTGATCTTGTTGAATGGGCGCTGATCCCTGATGGGAGTTCTGTTTTGTGCTGTTGATAACACACATGGATGCAACTGGAGATCCATTTCAATCGTCTCTGCGTGGATATTGCAGAGCCCTTGGAACATTGTGTTGTGGAAACAAAAAGTCAGGGGGATTTTCAGAAGGGCTGTGTTCTGACCAGGTAGAATATTAATGTGTGCCTGACATCTAAAGTATGTAGGACAGCCTCTTGTGTTTTCCCATGGGGTTTGGGATAAAATTTAGACAGGTGAATCGGTTGATTGAAGTGTAAAGAGGAATTCTTTTTTTCCAAAAGGAAAAAGGAGATGGGAAACTATTAACAAACTAAAACTTAAATATCACTAATTAATTCAAACTATTTCTAATTATTTTCCTATGCTGTCGTCGACACTGCTACGGAGCTCCATTTCAGGCTGAGAACAGTTGAGAAGGAACTGAGGGGGTCAGGGCGCACGCGTGCTAGATGTGGCTCCAACGGCGCCGCAATACAATCACTGTGCATGCGCAATCCAGAGGGACACTGCTACTCCGATCAATGGCACCAGGACGCACAGACACCTGAAATGGAGCACCCACAGGAACAGCACTTGAAGAAGAACCTAAGTTTCATGGTGCCATCTTATTAAAGAGGGCAGCATGCTCGGCATCATTGGAGTTCCCAGGCAGCACATCTCTGATGTGTCCATTTTTAGTTTAAGGCTCTGCAGTTACTTATTTGTTTTTTTAAAAAACTATTCAGGTATTGTTCTTCATGGAAAAACACATCTCAATTTCTCACCAGGAACATACCCTGAACTGTGATCAAAAACAAAGATTTTAATTGTAAATTCGGCATCCCTTGCAGACTGTTAGGCTCAGCAAAATCAGCAGCGCTGTCATATAGGGGGAGGGATAGCTCAGTGGTTTGAGCATTGGCCTACTAAACCCAGAGTTGTGAGTTCAATCCTTGAGGGGGCCACTTAGGGATCTGGGGCAAAATCAGTACTTGGTCCTGCTAGTGAAAGCAGCAGGCTAGACTCGATGACCTTTCAGAGTCCCTTCCAGTTCTATGAGATAGGAAGGAATATCTCCATATAGAAGGGAAAGCTTGAGTCATCTGAGGTAACACAAAAGCAGTCATGTGGTGCCATTTTGTGCCTGTAATGATGTGAATGTATCTTGACAGATCTTCACATTTATGTAACACCTTTGCTTGAGAGTCAAGCGGATTCCTTAATTGTTTGAAACCTAAAGCATGATCCTGGCAGCTACAATCATGGCTGCAGCAGGCTGGAAAAGAATATGCCTGTTTCTTCCAACAGACGGTTTTATAAATTATAAGCTATTTTACCAATGGAAAGAGATTATTCAAAGAAAACAGATCATATTCTACAAAAAGGTAGCAGCACCATTTGCTAACCTGCTCAGAACGAACACAGACTAATACACCTTCCAGAAGAAACTTGGTGGCCTTATTGGCGTATTAGATTTTGGAAATTAATGCTTTACCTTGATATACTTATTTGGGAGTGACACGTGCATTAAAATCAGCTCTGTTAAACACACAGGGCCAAATTATCTACTGGTGTAAATGAGCACCGTTCCACTGACTTCAAAAGTCTTCCACCCATTTACACCAGCAGAGAATTCCCCCTCTCCCCCAACGTATAACTGACCTCAAGGGTGACAGTGTGATATCAGTTATAAATGTGTCTGATCTAGAGCCTCTTGAATTCAGTGCAAGACTTCAATGGACTTTTCCACACCCCTAATCTGAGTGTAAAGCAGTTAAGGGAGTAGCAAGGGGGGAAATGCCTTAGGAAAGGAAGCCAGACATAAGTAAACAATTTCACTACTACTGATCTCCAAGGACTGCATCACCACTTTTTTGCAGATTTGGAACAGTTCAGCTCACTGAACAATTTCCTTCATGTTTTCAGGTGGTTATAGGCTATTTTCATGGCACTCAATGATGGCCACATACATGTGGGAGCAGGAAAAACAAATATCCACACAAACTGAAAAATGGTGGGCACACACATGCATGATGTATCAGAGAAAAAACAGAACAGGCCACAAAAGTCAACTGGTTCGGTTTGCAAATTGCAGCTGTAACAAATGGCAAGTTTCCAAGATATTTTTTTTTTAACCAGATGAGGTCACACAATGGGCCATAGGAAGAAAATTCTTTGTACTGTCAAACAAACGCTACATTACTCTGATAAGCAGTGGTACTAATGGTCATAGATGCAATGTTATTGTTGGCATCACCATTAGTAACAGCACAAGACGACTGTATAGGGAGAAACTATGTTACAGGGTAAGCCTCTCAAAGCAGCCCAGACTATAGGATGTACTTGTAAATATTCTTTGTGCCTGTGAATGCAATTTGCTCTTGTGTTGACTTGATAATTTACCATACAATCTGAAAAAAGAAAAAAAAAACCCACACAAATGGAAGTGTTATTAAGTCACAGCTGAAAACTGTTATGTACTCATACATTACCTGAGAAAGGCTTTTCTGCTTCCCTGGGATTTTTCCAGCAGATGCAGTTTATGACCCCAGTACTGTCATCCACTGTAAGAGAATTGCAGTAATCAAGGAAACAATTGGTCTTGGCATTCCAAGAGATCTTAACCCACAGCACAGCCCTACTTGTTTTGTCAGTACCCCTTTGGCTCAGCCATAGAAGGACACGTTATTTGCATTATTTTTCTAAATAGTATAATACTTCATCTTATTCTGAATCACGTGCCAAAAGTAGTCCTCAATTTAGACTTTTGCAGCATCCTCTCTCTGCATCTATTGAAAATTGCACTGCAAATGTTAACTCAAATATTTTAAGTAAAATCATAAACACACTGAAACAAAACCCACCTACCATATTCTGCACATCTACAGCCCCTTTCATCTTAGAGTATCTTATATTAATTTGGCCTTACAAAATCCACACAATGTAGGCAAGTATTACTACCCTTTAACATTTAGACTGTAAATTCTTTGGGACCAGACCATGTCTTTGTGTGTATGTATGTACAGCACCTAGTACAATCCTGATTCAATGCCTCTAGGTGTTATTGCACTATATTATATATAAAAATGAAGTTAATGGAAGCAGAAAGGGGTTTAAACTAACATTTTCAAAAGTAGCTTCTAATTTTGAGTGGTCAACTCAAGGCAGCTTGGGTCACATTTTCAGGAGTGCTGAGCGTCCATAAATTATTATCACTGCGCTGCTTGGCACCTCCAGCCCTATATCTCAAGTTGGGCAGCCAAAACAATTGAGGCTCTCAAGATCAGAGGCCACTTTGGAGAATGCTGGTTTGACTCGTCCAGGGTTACACAGCAAGACAGCCACAGTCAGAAATAAGCTTTGGGAGTCCTGACTCCCACTCCTCTTCAACTAACCATGATGAAACTAGGTATTCTCTCAGAGACAGCAGAGGACACACCAATGTTCTCAATACAACTCTTTTTCCCCTGCCCCCATTCCAATTCTTTTTTAAAAGGTCAGAAATGGAGCTGTCAGACCTGAGGCAGAAAGATGGTCTTAGAGTTAAAGAATGGTACTGAGATATACAGGTTCTGATCCTGCCAAACAGAATTCTACCATGACCTTGGGAAAGTCACTTAGGCCAAGATTTACGAAGCTGGGTTCCTAGAGTTTGGCCCCTATATCTATATTTAAGCACAGAAATAAGTGGTCTGATTTACAGAACGCTGAGCACTCACAGCTGCCCCCTGAATTCTAAGTTTTGGCCTTTACCTCTGTGCCTCATTCCCCATCCAAGCCCCATTTGCTGATTGGGGGCAATTTACCCATTTTAAGGTGTGCAGCAAGGCTTAATTCAATGTTTTTAAAGTACTTTAAGATTCTCAGATGGACTAAGTCACAGAACTGCAAAGTGAAAGAGACAACCCTCACAAAAAGAAGAACAGGAGTACTTGTGGCACCTTAGAGACTAACAAATTTATTAGAGCATAAGCTTTCGTGGACTACAGCCCACTTCTTCGGATGCATATATATGCATC